TTTGTCGAAAACATAAAAACCACCGTATAAGTTCACACAAATAATTAGATTTATCGATCAGGACTTATATTTTGAATTCGAATGTATTTTTTTTTTGGAGGGAGGAGAAATATTTGATTAGATTTCATTTGACTAATTTAGAAGATAATTAAAATACATTTCAACTCTTAATTAATATTTCTTTTTAAGCCCTTTAAACTTCTATAAATCAAACACACGTTTTATATCTAATTTCAATACATATTCTTCCTCCTCCTTTTTACCTTCAAATAAACAAAACTCTCCCTTCTTCTTCCTACATTCATCTTCGAAGCATCGCTAAAATCAAACCATCCATTAACAAAGTTACAAGAGGTTAGATTTGTCATTTTTTTTGTTTTTTTAAAGTTTTATCATGTGTTGAAGATGCTAATAGATCTTCATAAATGTAATAATTTAAGGGTTCAGTATTTAGTCAGCCCATCTTAATTTTGTGTGTTCACTTTGATTAAGTAATTTTTGTTGTTTATCCCAAATATTTTTCTGCATTCAATCAACCATTTTGTTAATATATCATGGAAATCATTATTTGTTTTAGCTGTTGGATTGAAAATAAAAAAATGTTTGTACCTATATAATAAAATTTTCCTAATATATAAATACATGATATTTTACCTAAAAATAGCTAAAAACATTTACTTTGATCTCATTTCTTTTAATACATGTTGTTTTGAATTGACTTATATTTTGTCTTTATCAGGACTGAATCGAAGTCTCTATTAAATTTCATAATTTTTTCAGTTCTACTTAATGTTAGTGTCGATCTATTTAATAAAATTTTCCTGATTTATAAATACATGATATTTTACATAAAAATAGCTAAAAACATTTACTTCGATCTCATCTATCTCAATATATTTTGTTTCTAATTGACTGATATTTTGTCTTTATCAGGACTGAGTCAAAATATTTATTAAATTTCATCATTCTTTTCAACTCTACTTAAATGTTTCTACTAGTACTCCAAAATATTTGTTTTTACACCAAATCTCGGTCAAACACATATTTATAACAAATTAAATATTTTCTTTTTTAATAAATACCTTTCAGAAGGTTGGTCAAACATGCTTTACTGTTCGCTCACTTGTTCTTGAGTTCTCAAGTACATTGATATATTTCTTTATATGTTCTTCTAATTTTCAATTTTACTTTTGTTTATTTTATTAGGAATATATAGAAAAAAAAATGGCAAAAAACACATCTGATGATATGCCGGACAAGGAAGCCAATCGGGCTGCAAAGACTCTATTGGAAATTAAAAGCAACAAATCAACCAATCTTGGCGAAAGGTCAGAGGAATCACGAGCTATCAATAGTCCTGAAACGATTTACCCCTGTAGCGAGGAAATAAGAGCTTGTTTCCGCAGAGAAGAAGCTCTAAGGTACGCACAACCTAACAAGGCTTTCTCATATACAGCTGTGGATGGTAAGAAGGTTGTTGTCGCTCCACTGAAAAAGCGTGGAGGCAAACTATTCAAAAGGATTTGTCATTACGATATTCTTAAGAGCAATAAACCGCCTTTTTTCACTCTCCATTGTTTGGTAAGAGATGCAGCGGCTAGATTGCCCGGAGGAGTTGGGACTAGAGACGATGTTTGTGTTTTGGCCAGGGACTCACAATTCATCGTTGAGGACATCTCCGATTCACAACTTCGCAAAGCTGTAAAAGGAGGGTTGGATCGTCTGCACTATGAGGACGATCCATGTGTAAAATATGAGAAGGAAAGGCATCAGTGGACTTATCTACATGGAGATAGAAAGTTAGAAGATTTTGAAGATGATTCGACATAAAGTCTGTAGTGAATTTCGTAAACTAAAGATTTAAAAGACTTTCAGCTATAATTTTTAATAATGTCTCTGTATTGTTGCATCTTTCTGGATATTTTTATGTTTAATATATATATCATTAGTTCAAAAAGCGACGTGCTTGTTGATTTACTAATGCTTGTTAGTTCCTAAAATCAAAAGTTGAGAATTCACTAATTTCCGCAAATGTCCACTCACTTAGTCTATCAGAAATAATATCTCTATGTTCAAAACATAGGGTAAAGCTTCTTATACACCAACCTCCCTAGATCCTACATGTCTGGCACGGCCACTCAAGTTGATTCCTGGGACCCCCTACCGTGTCTGGTTTCTGGTGCAAGAAGATAGTTTTTTTTTCGGTTGAAGTTTTTTTTGTAGGAATTTATTTAAGTTATTTTTTGATATAAAGGCGAGATAAATGGTTTTACTACACAATTTCATCAACATGAGTGACGATTTGAGAAATTTACCCCTTGTCTGGTGAATTTTTGTTTTGAGGTATCTATCGCATGACCTTTACCACTATATAGGCACTAGGCGAGCCAATCAAGCTCTGAGTACAGAGTTAGCAGCACCTGAAGCACTAATTGTCATGGTTCATAAAGAAACAGCACAATGGGGTCACACTGGACTTGTAAATTTTCTCAAAACTTGTATAGAATTTTTGTCAAAACCTTAGTTTTTGCAAAGCAGCTACTGAAACAATGGGTTGATCAGAATAGAGGTCTCACCATCATACAGTGATAAAGTATTTATAAATAATATGGGGTCATGAATGTGCAAAACCTTTTATCAACATTAGTTAATTGTCACTTATCAAGTGTCTCGATAGGCTTTTGCAACATTTACAGAAAGTGTATTAACAGGTAATTGCTGGCAATTAAGCAATTGTTATTAATGAATTATTGCTAAAAATCATATTAGATGTATTACTTGTGGATTTGATTTACAAGTACAGAGTTAGATTCATTGTGCAAGTCTAATTGATCAATCGATGCTTGAACTTTTTTCCTTTTTGCTGGACCAAAATATACCTTTTTAGTGAGGAGATTAGATTGAATAAATTAGAAAATTACTAAATCCACTTATCTCTTAATTAATATACCTTTTTAGCCCTTTCAACTTCTATCTCCATAGTCTATAAATCAAACACACACATATATGTGAAAAATACTTGTTTCTACACCAAAAACTTTGATCAAACACTTCACTCTTTATAAAGTTGACAAAAAACACATCTGATGACATGCCCAAGTAATGATACAATTCGTTTTTATATAATCGTTCTATACACTTATAATAATACAATTCGTTTTATACACATCGTTTTTATACAGTTCTCTGCCCAAGTGTCTTTCTCTTTCTTGTTTTATACACTTCATTTTATACAATTTGCCTCAAATATATATGTATAGCGAATTATACAATTTCTATGTTTGCTATGGAGCGCAATTATGCAAACTTTACTATAGCATACAAATATAAATTTTTTATTTGCTATATGTGAAAGTTGCCCTTAAAAAATCCTGATTTGAACCGCTGACATTCAGGCCAAAGATTAAAGAGAAATTTGGCAACACCTCAACCATTGAGCTAACTCTTCATCTTGTGTTACAAAGTGTCAACTACAATATATATATATATATATATATATAATCAAAATTTAACCTATCTATACAATGTAATTTTTCGATAAAGGTGTGTTGCTTAACACCCTCGGACAAGGGTAACTCCGCCTATCCTCTAAGGTACAGAGAACCTGAAAGAGCTTTCTCATATACAACTGTTGACAGTCATAAATCTGTTGTTGCTCCCGTAAACATCATTTGTGGATTACAATTGTTATGTTATTGTTGAATTCATCAAAAAAAAAAAGAATCTTACGATACGTGGATTGTTTATGTATATACTGCACAAATTTTAACTACAACCATGTTAATTATCTTATTATATTTAGGAAAAACAGTAATTTATAATCTTATATGTAGAGCTTCCAAATATAGTAAAAAGTACAAATTCAAAAAACCATCAGATAAGTTCACAAAAAAAATTAGATATATGTAATTTGAATTTGAATATATTTTTTTTGGAGGGAGGAAACAATATTTGACTAATTTAGAAGATTATTAAAATCAAGTTCATATCGTAGTTAATATTATACTAGTGAACTTGTCCGCTCTTCGTGCGATTATAAACAATGATAAGCTATAAATAATTTTATGAAGTATCATAGATAATTGTTAGACCTTAATTTTTTTAGAACAAAAAATATTATATAAATTCATGCATAATTAATCTTTGAATTTTTTTTTACTGACATCCACTCCATAAATTGATCATAATTCAATAGTTTGCATCTTATTTTTGAGTCAAACTAAAATATGTAAATAATAAACATAAAGAAATAACAATAAAAGAAAATAAAAGATCAATTTGATGATTTCTATATAATCTGACAATATCTCTAAAAAAGTAACAATTAAAAAAATTAATGTAATGATTTTTATAAAATGTAACAATATCTTTATTTATATGACTAATATAAAATATCAATATAATTATTAATTACTCTAGAAATTAGAAAAATAAAAAATTGTTAGTGTAATGAAAATAAATATCATTAAAGCTTATATTAAAGAAATGATTTTTTAATTTCTTAATATTGCATTTAATATAATTATTAGAATTAAAGAAGTGAGTTTTAAAGGTTTTTAATATAACACATAACTGATGAAAAAATAAAGAAAAATCTCTTTAAAAAAAGAAAAATCAATTATCAATTAATGATCAGTTATACTTTTCCAAAAATTAGGAATTCAAAATCTATATATATATATATATAAGGTATAATATTAAATTATGGTAATAAAGATGAAAATTAATAAATCATAATAATGATGACAAGTGATAAATAAAGTATTTTAATTTTTTTTCATATTTCATAGATGAGAGAAAATAAAAGATTTAAATATGTAAAAAATAAATGAGTCATTAATTACAAATTAAACTTAAATTTTAATTACATTACATGAAATCTTTTCTTTCCTTTTTTTTCTTTTCTTTTTTCAAATCAAATTCCCTATCACATTTATCAATTAACAAAATTAAAAAATAGTACACCTAACAATCGTAAAACTGCATCGTTCCCAATAATCAAAAAACGAAAATAAACTATAGCACTAGTTAATTTATTTTTTTAAAAAAAGGAAAGGAATAAGCAAATACAGAAGAATGGCCAGAGCTCAAAGAGGTTTCCAAAACTCCAGTCATCTTCTTCAATCAGCCGCGCAGAAATTTATGGCTATCTCTATATATCATATCTGTCTGACCTTCATCCTTTACAAAAAATATCATGTCCGACATGTAATCAATTTGATTGTATGTATTTATATAGTGTTCAAAAGTTAACGTTAAAGAACTTTTCAAATTCTGTAATTAAGTGTAAAGAATAAATCTTCTTAAAATTTACAATTAAGAAAAAAAATTTAATGTAAAAATTGATAACTGAAGTTTTTATGTGTATAATCTAATGAGGAAATGATTAATATTATGCGTTAATATTCTGCAAAAACATTAAATGAAGAAAAGCTAAAAAAAGAAATTCAGCCCTCGAAGACATGCCATATCAGGAATTCTAGATTCAGATTAATAAAGATATATAGATTCCTTTTAGAGGCCTTTTAAGTGGTATAAATCAAACACCATTCATGTTCTTTCAGTCAAAATCTTCTTCCTCCTCCTTTTTACCTTCAAATGAACAAATTCATCTTCGAAGAATCGATAAAAATCATACCATCTATTAACAAGCTACTAAAGGTTAGATTTCTCATTATGTTCTTTCTTTTTCACCTTTGTTCATCGCGTTTTTATAAATTTTTATCTAGATAAAACTTTAAACACGACGAAGGTGGAAACAAAAAAATAATGAGAAAGCTCACCTCTAGTAATTACTTGTTAATGGATGGTATGATTTATATCTATGCTTCAAAGAAGAATGGAAAATTTTGTTCATTACAAGGTAAAAAGGGGGAGGAAGAAGATATATTGAAATTAGATACACAATGTGTGTTTGATTTATAGAAGTTAAAAAGGGCTAAAAAGGTATATTAATTTATTAAGAGATGAAATGGATTTTAATAATTTTTTAAATGGTAAAGGGCCTAAAATGCTTCTCAGCTATTTGCATTAGTATAAAAGTATCCTTTATCCACCTTTCAGCCCCCTAAATACCCCTGACGTCAGCTTCTTGAACCAAAAGGTTTGAGTCAGAGGCTAGGAGGTTAAAAGGTCAATGAGCGGTAATTTTGTACTAATTCAAATAGTTTGAAGGGCATTTTAGGCCCTCTCACTTAGAAAACTATTAAAATACACTTATCTCTTAATTAACTTATCTTTTTATTTCTGTAGTTTATAAATCAAACACACACTATATATCTGATTGCAAATATATCTTCATCAGACTAATGTATTAAAGCAAAGTATTACAAATTTACAACAAAGTGAAATGTTATAATCTAAACTCTTAAAACGGACGAACAGAAGGGGCATTTATACTTCATTATTGTAATTAGCATTTTTTATCACATACTCTAAACTAAATAACTGTGATTAGCAATTATATTTTGTTCTAATCATATATACTTCAGTTATTAGCTTCTAGTAGTTGCCTATAAACAGTGGCGGATCTAGGCGGGATTCAAACCCTCAACAATGGCTTCGCACGCCTCTTATTGCAGAGGTTTAAACTAGCTCACCCACAACTGCTTTTGTTCTATGGATGCTCATTTAAATTATAATAACACATGTATCATATTTTCTGTATATATATATACAAAAAATTTTGGAAATCAATGGGTGCTCGAGCACCCGCGTTTGGCTTACTGGGTCCGCCCCTGCCTATAAATAAAATGGTCTAGTTATATTATATGTCTGTTATAAACTTTATTAGAATGAGTAATTATATTTTTCTATTAATAAGGAGGGGAAAATAATAGTCAAGATATGATTGAATTCCAACTTGTGAAAACCAATTTAAAATGCAACTTTTAATTTTAAGAAGGAATGTACAACAAAACTTAATGTGAAAGAACCCCCACCGACCCACCCACCCAGCTCCATTGCCATCCCTAATTTTGGCTCCCCTCTTGTTTCAGTTCTTTTGAGATATCACCTACTCGAAAAGAATTATGTTTGAGACGAAATCATTTTGGAATTTCAGCCAAGTTTGTCATTCATGTATAGTCTTTCATATTGACTCGAATGAGAAACATACGATCTTAAGAAGTTGTCTTCAGTAGATGAGATATGAGGAATAATGATGGAGAAGATCTTAGTTGAAGGACGCACTAAGTTGCCCTATTTAAGGTTGAATGTTGACGAGCCGAACCCAATCATTGGAAATGATACTTTTAATTTTTCGAGATCTACTATGTTTTGTGAATAAACATCATAAGAAAGCTAGATTAAAATGCATACCTGTTAAGTCATCTTGTTTATCAATGCAGAAGCGTGTTTCAGACATGTGGTACATTCAACTAGCTCTTCTTCTCTTGCTTCTCATTCTTTCTCCTCCAACTAGGATTCGAATGCGGTGGGTCTTCATAAGGTTAATGAGATGAGAGTATACCTAGCTAGCCCTTTATTTATAGACACCAAAAGTTGAGCTAATGGGCCTTCCCATAATAGGAGGGCTTCAACATGGTCTACACTGTCACCAGCCTACATTTATACATGACGTGGTTTAGGCCCAAGACTGAATGCAACATAAAAGCGGCCTTGGTCATGTCCACCACTTATACTTGTTTGGCCCATTTTATAAATCGCAAATAATTAAGTTAATGTTAGTCTATATTTGGTAAAATTTGCAACTTTCTTTCTCTTGGACAATCATTAACTTAATCTTATAATTTTTAAATGTGTTAGTCCATAGATTTTTTTGGTGATATGGCTGATCGAGACTTTTTCAAAATCATTATAGAACCATCTATAAGTACGTGAGAACAACTCCTATATCCTCAGTAGGATCCACGCTAATTTGTTTAGCAATTAGGGGCCAATAAACATGAATCATGTGATTTTTTCAGTTTTTCGTGTGTTGATCCGTGATTTTTTTGGTGAATATGTCTTGCAAACTCTTTTTGTCAAAAAATTTCATAGAACCATTCACAAGGACATGAGATTAATTCTTGTAGCATTACCATGATCCATGTCATTTTCTTCAGCATTTAGGAGGCACTCAACAAAAAATTGAACTATTTTTTCATATCGTTTTGTGTCAGTTATCTCATGGATTTTTTTGTGACATGTCTTTCAGATAATTTTTTTGGCCAAACCTTTACAGAACTATACGCTAGGGCCGGGGGGGGGGGGGATTTCCTATAGCCTCATAATAATCCACAACACTTTTTTTTGTATTTAGGGTCTACTCAACAGTAATTGGCGATTTTCTCAATTTCTCGTGTGTGTAATTAGCCCATTGATTTTTTGGTGATATGGCTTCAGGATACTTTTGTTCCATAACCTTTACAGAACCTTCCACTAGGACATGGGGAACAATTCCTATAACCTGACTAGGGATTCACACCACTTTTTTTTGGCATTTAGTGGCCAATAAACAGGAATTAGACAATTTTCTCGTGTTTGTTAGCCCATGAATTTTTTTGGCTATATAGCTTTCACATTTTTTTTAAAACCTTTATAGGATCCTCCACAAAGATATGGGGAACAATTCTTATAGCTTCACCATGATCTATACTACATATTTTTGCATTTTAGGGGTCACTCAACAAGAATTATATGATTTTATTGTGTGTTAACCCAAGAATTTCTTGGCGATATAGCTTCAAGACACTTTTTTTTCCCAAAACCTTTACAGAACCATCGGTAAAGACATAGAGGAAAATTCCTATAGCTTCACCATGAACCACACCATCTTTTTAGCCTTTAAGGGCAACTCAACATGAATTAGGTAATTTTCTCAGCATGTTTTTCCAAAACCATGCCAATTTTTTAGGACTTTTTTTCCAAAATCTTTATAGAACCATCCACAATGACCTCGGGAAACAATTCTATAGCCTCACTATGATCCACACCACTTTTTTACACTTTTTTTTTCAATATCTTTACTGAACCATCTTTGATCTGGAGACATACTCCTATAGCCTCACAGTAGTTCATGTCACTTTATTTATTATGTATTAGGCTAAATCTGTCGGTAGCCCCTTAAAATTGGCACCAACTTTCACTTAAACACTTCAAGTAGATCTTGTTCATTTTGGAACACCTATAGTAGGTTTCTATTATGTCATTTGGACACTTTTCGCTAACTCAACATTACACGTGTGCGACACGAATTCTGAGCGCATTCGAGAAGTTTTTATGAGAAATTCTTTTTTGTCGTCTTCTTTCTCACTTCTCTCTCTCTCCTTCAACCACTCTTTTGAATTTTCTTTTCCCCGTTCTTCCTCCTCAGGCTCTCTCTGCTACTCTTCCTCACACAATTTTTTTGTTAGGTTAGTATATTACTTTCTCCATTTCATTTTATATGTCATCTCTTTCTATAAATAGCTAAACCAAAATACTTGTCATTTTATAAAATTTATGCATAAAATATCATATTTTGCCTATTATACCCTTGACAGAATAGTTAATTAATCTTGTCATTTATTAATAAAGTTGACTTTAAAAAAATTTAATAAGTGTAAAAGGGCAAAGTTACATAATTTTTTAATGCAAGTACAAAGTAAAAAGGTAACATATAGAATGGGACGAGGGAGTACTTGATTTCTTCTTTTTTGAGAATCAACTTTTTATTTTCTGATCTCATATGTAATTTTTCATCCATAGTTTCCTGTCAGATATTAATCGCTTATCAATAATCGTTTCCTCTCAAATGAGAATGTAAAATACAGGATGTATCTATTAATCGATTCATCTTACAGTACTCATAAATCTCCAATTGTCGCATTCTAACTTCCAAGCTCATGGCTAGCTCTACCTACATTTGCTACATTCTCTTGCAATCCCCGTTTAAGTTCTACTGTACAACTACGTCAAGCATGTCCACGTACGTTGAGACGTGCAAAATGATAGTACTAGTTCCCTATATAACATGACTAAGCGGCCCAATGCCTAGTTCGTCATCTATGTCATCGTCCTCTTCAAACAGCTTCAAGAAACGAGCTTGCTCGTTCTGCCTCTTTTTTTGCTTCCAACATTTGTAGGTAATGACTGCTCCAACAACTAAAAGAATCAACACTGAAGCACCGATAAGAAGCATGAAAGCCCAGTGCATTGATCTCTTTCCGCCTTTTTGTGAGCCAGATGAGTGATGTGAAGCTACAGTAACAATGCAACAAAATGCAAAATTAGTACTTACTATGTCTAACAAACCGATTTTGTATGTATCTCGTGGAAACTATGTTAAATAAAGGATGAATTGCTAATACAATCCTACACAAGAGGAGACTGGAAGGGATTACATTATGCTTGTTTCCTCCCTTACAGAGGCGGAGTCAGAATTTAAAGTTTACAGATTTTGCATAAGTTACTGAGTTCTAAAGTAACAATCAGCTCCGCCCTTGCCTCTCAGGAACTACTAGTGAACCTACACAATTTCTGATGTTCGAATACTTATTATGAAGAATATAAAGTAATACAGAAGATTTGAAGAATTACCATCGCGATGGTGGACACACTCGGGACACAAAAATGTGGCTTTGAACTCTTTCTTTGTGTAATGACTATACTTCCCATGAGGACTAGTGAAATCATCAGGACATAACTCCCACTCATCAAACGTATCGTCAGGCTTTATTGTATCCTTCTCATAGATCCCGCATCGTTTGCACTTCTTATGTTTAAGCTCTGTCAAAGGCTAGAACATCATATTTAATCATGTCAAATTCTGGAAGGAGATTTATTCGTATGCCATAAAGATTCATGTTTTATATGCAACATATAGAAATGATAGTCCAGAGCACGAAGCATTTTGTGTTCAACTAGGTCCGGAGAAGGGTCACACCTAGCGTTAGCGACTGATTTCACGACTCAAACTTAAGTCACATAGAGAAAGTTCCACGGAAAGTAAATAGAATGTTAGGTTGTGGAGCCTGATTAATATATATAACTGTTCCCAACCTAAATTTTAGGCTTTACTATTTATTCTCTATTTATTCTCTGTAACCAAAAATACTCTGATTTATTAATATAAATATACCTCACCGCCGTGGAAGTTTACTCACGGGGTGTTACCACGAAATATTGGATTTTCTCTGTCTCTCTCTAGATCTCTCATCTCTTTCTCTTGAAAGTTCTTGTGTTCTTCCTTCATCAAGTGTGTGTGGAGATCTCCCATTTTTTTCTCTTGAAAGTTTTTGTGTTCTTCATTCATCACATGTGTGTGGGTGAATTCGATCCTAACATAGAAAAAATGAGAGAGATTTCGTTATTATAAACCTGCCAAGACTCTTCGCCTTTGAAGATATACAAGACATGTTTTTTCTTCACATCTGGCAGAATTGTCCAGTTTTCGCCCTTACATCGGAAAAATACTGTTGGTTTTGATCCAAACATTTCATGTTTCTTATATATTTCAATCGAATCGAGTGTAACAATTGCAGCTCTAACTAATCCTGCACAAACGAAAACAGATCAATTTGTGCAACCGAGTTATATTTATTATCTCAGAAAGGCATATTACTTCTAGATTTTAATTTTGCCCACCATGACGTCCTGGAATAATAATTATTGCTTGAGTGACTATTAAAGAAATCAATTCTCACGAATGATTAATATATTCATTTCATATAACCAATTAATTTTATAAAAACTAGAATAAAAATATACCTGGGAGCAATCTGAGAAAAAGGGAGGCACAAAAAATTAACACGATTGGAATTCGATGCATCGTTGACATGTAAAAGTTTATTTTTGATTGTATGTGCGATAGATAATTACATCGAAAGGTCTCCGTTATTATTACGGAGATCTTTCATGGCGGAACAAGGCTCGGCGTTTTGCTTGTTAGGAAAATGCTGATGAGCAGTTCGCGCGCTATTCAACAGTTTAATAAGTGTTTTTAATTTGACACCAATTTTATATATTACTCTAGTTATATTTTTATTTTATTAGGTTTTGCCTCGATTAAATTAAAGTCACTGGTTTGAGCCGTAAAAATAATCAAATAATGTTTGTATTAGAGCACCATGTTTACATTAGGAACAATGTTGTTTCTTTAAATGGCCATCAAAAAAATTGAGAATTCACTCATCAATATCTTCCTCAAACAATATATATATATATATATATATATATATACACTAAACACCTCAAAAGTGTTATTCTTGGAAATTTAAAATCCCCAAGTTATAATTTTATGAATTTTTTTTCAAATTTTCTTTGATAGAAAAAATGAATGTAAATTAGATTATCGATATGTAAATTCTTTTGTGTAGTCTGATGCTTTGTTAATTTTGAGTGGGTGCAAATACACATATATATATGTTTTATATGGCATAATACACGTAGAAAATAAAATTATCACATAAAATGAAATTATTTATTTGTTCAATTTTATATAAATTTAAATAAATTTATGTTCACACCCAAAGTAAGAGGAAACAAATATAAATTTAGGTGAAACTAAATGGCGTTTTTGTGTAATGTCTTTTTATTTTGTAGTATTAAGATATGAGTTGATGAGCTAAATAATAAGTACTCATATTTTAAAGGGTACTTTGGGGATGATAGTTGAGTGATGTTAATGATTTGAGGTTAACCACTTTGAAGGCCTTTAATGTCACATTAATTATAGCAATAAACAACATTATTTCATGGTCAATAGCCGTTAATTGGAATCTTCAGTTTAATCTTGCATTATCATTTGCTCATTTAATTACGGTTACATCTCAAACTTTATTATTTTTTCGTTTCTACATTAAAAAAAAAAGACAATTGGATATTTTCAATTATGAGTTGTTTTGTTCAAGGATCGTATGTAATCATAAAATTGAAAAATAATAAACCATACTCTAAACTTATAAGCATACATATGCTATTTCATTCTATGTCTGATACTAACATTGAAACCTCGATTAAGTGCATTACACAATGTATATATATCCTAATAAAAGGAAAAACACTTTTTATCATTATTTTTATATATTCATAATCATTTGATGCAATTCAGGTAAAAATTTAAACTAATTCATGCTCATGCTTTAATATTTGGATAAAGAAAAAGAAATAAAACACTTTTTTTTGTTTTGAATACAAACTATATATATAATAAAAAAAAGTCAGAAAATTAAAGGTAAAAAAAGACAAAAAGAGGGAAAAAAAATTAAAAATACTGTAACTAACACTGACTTTTTTTTTTTAACTTTCATGATCGACCACATCAACAGTAGCAGTACAGGCTAACAGCTTTCGGAAAACACCGCACAACGCCGCACAACAAATTTTCTTCACTCTCCTCACCGCCGTAAACCTCCTCACGCGCCGCCGTCTCCAACCGATTTTCCCCTTCTTTTTGCCGCCTGTCGCAACTCTTTCTCTGACTTTTCCGAGACACTTCTTAGTTTTTTGAGGAACAGTTTCTTTTCTCGAGAACGTATAAGCGCTCCTCAAATACAGCTGGCGGCAGGAGACGGAGTCTACAACCCTCGGCGACTGCCAGAGCTGCCGTCTTCTGCCGCCGTATATCGCCGGAGAATTCATCTTCAGAAACTCCGCCATTTCAGTGAAATTTCTTTTTTCCCTTTTTTTGTTGTTTGTAAAATGGGAATGAAAGACTATTGTCAGAACAATAGGTTATTATACACTCTTCCCTCCGTCTTAATTTATATGATATTTAATTATTATAAAATCTAAAAGTCAAAAGAAAATTTATGAAATAATCCAAATCTAAATTTATACAAAAATATTATTCATTAATAAATCATCTTATTAGAAATAAAATAAATCTCTTAGTCAAATTATTAAATATAAAAGGATTTACAATCAATAATATATTTTAAACTATTATTTTATTTTTGATTGTTCATTATTTTCTTTACTTTTTTAATTAAAACACAACCTAATACTAAATTAATCAAATATTCATTCTCAAATAACGAAGAAAATCATAATTAAAATATGACTCTACAAAAAGATGATAACTTTTATCAATAAATAATGAATAATTAAAATACAAAATTCAATATACATTTTTTATTTATTATAAATTAATAAAATATATTACATAAATCGTGAGAAACGAACCATATTATATAGAATGTGAAAATAGTGTAAGGCATGGAAAATGTGGGACATCGATATTAGTGGGATAATGCTCCATGTGTGGCGTACTTTATAGTAATAAGTTCACATTATTAGCGGTGAAAGTGCTTTAATCATGCAAATTAATTTACTTTAAAAGAATTAAGTTGACTTTATAAACGGTTTTAGAAAAATAAATATCGAGCATATTAGTGGAGAGTGGGTTATTATTTAAAGCATTGTTGGGATTTATAGATATTGTTGATTTCATTATTTTGATATAAATAGTGGAATAAAATATTTGTGGAACTTATTACTATTTCATAATCAAATGTGGAAAGTTTCAATGGATTGCCCAGAAGAAAGAAGATAGAAAATTAATTACTTCTCACTTCCTTCTTCAGAGTCAAAATAATTATAATATATTTTTTTTGTCATATTGATATATAAAAATTACAATATATAGTGTTTTTTGTGAATAGCTAAAAAATTTATTCAAAATGTTAAATTAATTTAACTTTAAAAATTAATCGAATTAATTTTTTAAAAATCAAACACGATAACTACACGCGAAAGGTTAGAGCATCGAACAATAAATAGGAAGTCCTCTTATACTTAAAAAGGAGATTATGTACTACATGCGTTTCATTTTACTTGTGTTTTATATCATTTAAAAAGAAAAAGACTATTATTCTATACTTATTTCAGCAAATTAAGAAATATATATATTAGTTGCTTTCAAACTTTTACTACTAAATAACTATATAAAGTACTAATAGTCAACTATAAATTTCAAACCATAATTAATAAAATTAATTTAGTAAAATAAACTCCTCTTTATGAAATATATTTACGATGGGTCAAGTCAAGTAAAATACTAATGTGGATTAAGCTTGTGCAGATTGTTCTCCTAGTTGGGTCAATTACATGCTTGTGTTGATAAAATATTTAAGCTAGTGATATTTATGCTTGGTTTTTTATTTTTTCAACTCGATATTTGTTACTTGCTTTGAGGATCTAACTAATCCAAATTTGCATGGCGTGGGAAATAAAAGTTATAGCATTTCTATACTCTTAACCAAAAAGCAAACTAACTAGTTAGCACAAAATGCAAATGATGGACATTTTAAAGAGGATCAAGTATCCCATTATCCATTAGGTGGGGCTTTTTTGTTCCCTAAATTTCACTTTCAATGTGTAGGCATCAAGAAGTATGAGCTGATAATGATCCTACCCTTTCTCATCAAAGTTACTGGGTCATTTTATCGAGTTCCTTCAACATGGTTCTCACTTCTCTCAAGCGCCCTAGTATAGTCAGTTCACCGCAAAAATTACGTTTTTTATTTTCTGGGAAGTTTCAACCTTGTTTACAATTTGATATATCAAGATTATCTTGTAACACCAAACAAAGAATGAGGCATGCCTAATATAAAAGTTACATAATCAATCCCTAATATTAGTACACTTTTAACTGCTCCAACAAGTTGATCAAAGAAGAACCATGAACTATTAGATATACTGGTGCAAGAATAAGTGGATATAGTGACCAGTCCTAAGCAACAATAAGACCTCTGAGAATAGCATTACAGTTTTCACAGGTTAGGTTCGACGACTGTAACATCACCAGAATACTTAACTAGGAGAACAGTACTAACTGAATTTCAATTCAATCCATGCATAAAATAACTAAAAAAGTGTAGCAAAATAAGCATGGAGAGAAGGACGGGGAAACTACATTCATTAGCTATCAGGAAGTGAAAACAAGTGCAATGCTGCCATTTTCAGCAGCATATGGACTATCGTTGTCTCAAGAAACCATAAGAAAAGGTATAGGAAGCAATCAGAAAAGTGAAAGTCAAGCCAAAAGTTTCATGCGATTTCATCTATCATGATGGTCTATGTATGAATGAGCATTGGGATCAATTGAGCAGAAAACAGTGAAAAGTTCTATCAGCATAGACAAGGTTGTAATGGTGCTTTCTGTTTTTTGAAAACATTCCATCTAATGAACTATCATTAGATATCTAATGACATTTGCATTCTAATAAGGATAACAGATAAGATAGCAACAAGGAGGTATGACAATGCTCACAAATGAGGGATGACCCCCCAAATGCATCTAACACAACATGCAGAAAACACCTAATTGTGTTACCCTCTTGTTTCCAAGTCAAGACTGTTTGATTTAGCCAGCTTTCTGGAGTAGACGATCAACGAGAAGAAAATGTGAAAGTCAGCTGAACACTTCCTCACACAAAGGCAGAATTATCCTTATGAATAGCAGCACATCAATAAATGTTACTCTATTGCATCATGGTTCCTTAAGCCTTATATCTGGAAGGGGTTTCATATCTCAGTGATGGTCTAGACAAAACTAAAAACTGTAAGAATTCCCACCAATATACTATCCCTTCCACGGATTCTTTGATAATAAGCTCTTTGGCATATGCCCCATCGTTTGTACTCCTCATTGTTTATGTCAAATGCTATATGACATAAAACACGTTCTAATACTAAGAAAGATTAATATATCACATAATATCACATCTAAGAAATTCAGAGTAAAGAAATACGACACTGATACCGTATTGCTCATAGCTAAAGTGCTATTAGTACAAACCGAATATCACACCTCAGAAAGTCAGTCTAGAGTGACGGCATACCCTGAAGCAAACAACAGAACATGAAACAAAATGGCCATAGCATGACAGACAGCAAGGCCATTACCATCCAAATGAACCTACAAAAGCGTAACTAGACTAATTTCTCAATGGAAAACAGCAAACTTTACAATTTCATATTCAAGCACACGAACATCCAGAGGGAGTAAAGACCAACAACGAAAAATCATGATAAAGCAGGACATCAATGAAAATGAGGTTTACGTAACACTTCCAATGAAAGAACTATCAATATCCAAAAATGCAAACCGTTGTTCCATGATTACAGTACTATTACTACAGACCAAGATATTGTTTAGTAAAAATGAAAAAGTAAAAGAACAGTAAATGATAATTAATCCCAGCAAACCTAACTATCACTTCAGTGAACTCACAGTGTTTAGGCTGCAAACTGCATAAATGACAGGACACCTTCCACTAGAACTCGACTTCACAGCTCAAACTCCTCATCTCGAAGAGCCATTTCTGCAGCCTCTTCTTCCTCCTCGTCGAGAACAAAGTACTCATTCTTCTCCTCTGGCCTAAACATGTAAAACATCACCATGTAGAATGCTAAACTGGCTATCTCCTCCGCAGCATTTGCCACCCATTGGTACTTATATGCAGCAATTGTCCTCAATGCGAACACAACAATCCTTGTGAAGTACAAGTATCCGATCACCACAATATAAAACTGCCTAAACAAAGTCAATTTTGACAAATTCCTTGCAGCCTTCCCATCAGTCTTCGATGTCTCCCTCAAGGACCTAATCGACCAAACAATAGGGAAGATAATAGCACAACAACAGATAATATCAACAATCAAAAACACCTGATTCCAAGTCACCCAATCCCTAATAAACGGACCCGTTTCACCAATCACTATCGATGCCACATTAGCCAAAACCTGAAGCGGGATCACAATCATCAACACTTTCTTCTCCCTCTCTTGCAAAAATGGCTTCAAAAACGACCAGCCAGTACCAATCAAAACAATCACAGTAAAAAGCAAAACAACACGAAGCGACTGAAAAATGTAAAACAACACATCCCAACCATGAGCAGTACCAGTAACCTTAACATAATGCTTATCCTCCGCCGCGAAAATCAAATTCAACGCCTTCATTACAACTAAAGCAGCCATAAGCATATGAATCCGATGAACAGATTTCTTATTACGAATACATACAGACAACCACAACCCCAAAAACCCGATATACACAAAGGAAAACAGAAAATACAACGTGGGAAGCTGAGTAAGACCAGCAGAAAGATAATCCTTCACTTGATTATCTAGATTATACAGTTCCGTACGAACATCCATGGATACTTTCGATTCAGGAGCACAATTCGCAAAGAAGAGAGAGTATTCATTAGGAGAAGTAACAGGGTAAGATCGGTTAAACGAAGAATTTGGGGGTGGAGAAAGATCACGGAAAGTAAACAACAAATTGATGAATTTGGAATCTAGAACACAAAATGTAGGGTTTTGTTGAAGTTCAAGAAGAACTTGAATAAGCGCTTCTTCCGATAAGAGAAAAAACCCAAGCCGTGAAGGGTCCGGCGTAGCTAAGGTAGAGATAACAGAGACGGAAGAGACGCTAATGGCAGCTTGACCCGTATGAGTAAACCCGAACCGCTCGAAGAGTATCATTGCCCGTGGATCGGAGGAGATTTTCAGCTTTTTTATCTCGCCGGTGGTGAACGAGACAAGACAGAGGAGGAGGAGGAGGAGGAAGGGGAGGGGTAATTTCGTCATTTTGAAAAAATGTAAACGCCGTCGGGTACGGCGGATCAGTGATGGTTCACGGAGGAGGACGGCGATGCCGGCGAGGATAACGGGCCGGTAAAGAGAATTGAGGGGATTTTAGGAGTAGGAGAAAATAAGGTTAGGGACTGAAACGAAATGAATAAAGAGTGAAATTTAGGGGAAAATATTATGGAAATGACGAAATTAGCCTTTTGTGTTAGATCTAGATCTTGTTTGGAGAAAAAAGGTAACTATAGTAGTCTTTATTATGAAGTAAACTAAAGGAAATTTATAAGAAAAATATTTACGTTATTATTCTAATAAAGTCAAACCAAATTGTAAATATCGATTTGGTGTGTTTGATATGGATTTTTCAACAAAAAAATAAATTATAATTACTTGGTCAAAATATTTTAAATAATAATATCTCAGGTAGAAAAATATGCTCTAAATACTATAATTCAAAAAAGTATTTTTGTCTCAATTTTGCAAGAAAAAATAAATTTTACATTGATGGGGGATTGTTTAAAATCAAATCCTAGTCAATAACTTAAATAATAAGATGTTAATTTAATGGTTTTGATAACAACTTTTTTTTTATATCGGGTTATTATTTTATTATTGTTATAGATTTTTCTTAACGGGTTAATTGATAAGTCGATGGATAAATTAATAAATAATTTTTTATATACTATTTGGTATACAAAGTTCTTGAGTTAAGGTTTTGTTTCATATTTTTAATTTTTAATTGTGTTAAAATCTTGCTTAGGCTCGATGCGTTTTTAAACAAGATATAATACAATTTGTGTGCTGGATTATATGGGTTTTCACCTTATTATAAAGTGATTTCAACTATTATTTTATGTGTATAAATTTTAACGCCTAAATTGATCATAATCAATAAACTTAAAAATTGAATCAAATTATCTCATACCAACCCCTATTGCCCTGTTAGATTATTTCTAGGAGGAAATGGTTAGTTCGAAATAGGATTAAATTAGTTGCTCGAATATCCTAATTCCTAATTAGTTTGTACCTAAATTTACACATGCTAAAACACATATTCATTCTTTCTCGAATTATATAGCACAAATAAAATTTTGAGGGTTAATAAAAAATAATCATTAAAATTTATTTACATGTGTTTTAGGTATTTGAAGTTAATTTTACTTAACATAACTCTCTCTCTCTCTCTCTATATATATATATACACACACACATACTGCATTGATATCATTAATGTTTCGTATTCAGAAATTACTCATTAGTTAATAATACTATAAGAATATATGTATATTGCTTATTTACCATTAAGATTTTTTGTTTACAAATTATTCATTAGCCAATGATATTATAAAGAACATGGATATATTATTTTAATATCAATAAAATTTCTTGTTCAGAAAACACTCATTAAGTCAATAATACTCTTATAGTACTTCATACGTTCATTTTTATTTATCATGTTGTCCATTTTGAAAGTCAATTTGTTTAATTTTCAAAATTAAATTAGATTACATTAATTTAATATTTTAAATAAAAAAATTTAGATATTCAAAAACTCTAAGAAAAGTATAATAAATTGTAATTTTTTGCATATCAATATAATGAAAAAACACATTTTAAATATTAGTCAAAATTTTATATTTTAGTTTTAAAAAAACTATAACAAATACCCCTCCGTTTCAAAAAGGATTTTCTAGTTATTTTAAATATATCAAAATATCTTTTAATATTATGGTTTTAAACATATCACGTGAAATGTTAAGTTAAAGTGTTGCAAAAAAAAAGATCATTTTTCTTGAAACAAATTAAAAAGAAAATATAAACATTCCTTTTTAAAACAAAGAGAATAATTGTGAACGGAGAATGTATCATAGAAAAGGTATTTTACACGAAAAAAACTTGAGGAAATATAGAAGTTTATGATGGAAGTGATTTATTATTTGATCTTTTTGATAACTTCTAAATATAGGAATTTATGATTGGTTGGTTTCCCCAAAATTTCATTCAATTCCTCATCAACCTTTTGCAGAAAAATCTTTGACGTTACATTTAAATTTTGGAAATACACATTTAGATTCCTCACAAATTTTAAAAACGTTTAATTGTTTTGAAATTTGAAATAGTTTAACTAACACAATAGAATTATATTTGAGAAGGCTAAATATATATTACCTTCCTCTCATATTATAAGTCAATTTTTTTAAAAAATATTTAAATAATAATATATGTGTATTCTATAAAATTTATGCATAAAAAAAAATATTTTGCACATTATATCCTTATTGCTTAATTATTTCATTTTGAAAGTATATTTACTTTGACTAACATTAAAAATCTACAACTAATTAAATATCTTATATGTTAATACAAGTGCAATTAGAAAATGTGATTGTGTTTAGTCCTTCGAAAAATCTAATTACAATGTGTATTTATGTATTAATTTATGCCTAATTGACTTGTGAATTTCTTAATTTATTATTTATTATTTATTTTTATTATATGCTTTAGATATTCTATATCGACATAATACATATTATTTTAAAGTGTTTAACGAACACAATAAAAATCATTTAAGGTGTCCAAATATGCATCATATTTAGTTATCATGAAAATTAAGTTAAACTGTCTATCTATCTTTCTTTCCAAATTAACTTATAATTCAAATTTCAAATTAATTTAATATTTTAAATATAAAAAATATACTAAATTTAATAGTAAGTTATCATGTTTGTTATATTATATGATAATACAAAAAGTATTATATAATTGAAAAAGGTGACGAAAAAAATCTCAGAAAAAGAATCTTCGGGTATATTATTTTCTTCATTCTTCAACCCCATTTAGCGGTGAGATCAATTTCGAATTGATCCACTTATATAATTGGAGCTTGAAGATTTTCTGGGCTACATTCAATTTTTGTCACATTGAAAATTTCAATCTGTAAGTTTTCATATTTTTGTTCATGAATCCTTCGTTCTCATGCATTTTTATCGAAAAATTTCATTTGGGTTTTGCATTTTGAAGCTTATAGATATAAAATTTATGTTATTTGGGTATTTCGAATTTGTAACATGTATGATCACACATGAATTTGCTACTATTTGATTCCATGCAGATTGTGGATTGGATCAGGTTGTTTTTTGATTTACGAAGAAAATTACGTTGTAGGTTTAAATAATTGGAGTTTTTGATAATTTTGTATCTGGGGTTTTGAGTTTTTGAGGGGTGCAAATGAATGTGGTTGGTAAAGTTAGTAGCTTTATAACACAGGGTGTGTATTCAGTTGCCACCCCATTTCACCCTTTTGGTGGAGCAGTTGATGTAATTGTTGTGAAGCAGAATGATGAGACTTTTAGGAGTACCCCTTGGCATGTTCGATTCGGAAAATTTCAGGGTGTACTTAAAGGTGCAGAAAAAGTGGTTCGAATTGAAGTTAATGATGTAGAAGCTGATTTTCATATGTATCTTGATAACTCGGGTGAAGCTTATTTTATCAGAGAGGTTCCTGCTGATAATCAGAATGAGGTGAATGGGGATTCGAGGGATTCTGCTAAAAAGGAAGAAGTGGATACTAGTGATCTTGATAATGTGAACAATAACGACGGTGTGAAGGAGGATAATGACTCTAATAAAGCCGAGTTGTCATCAAAAGATGAAGGTGTGACATTGGGTATAGAACGATTAGATGAGGGAGGTTCCGATGGTGACAGGAGATCCTCTGAGTTTCTGGAAGAACAATCTTCTTTGGAGGATTCGGCTGTAGCAGAACTTAGTTCCAGCAGATGTGAGAATGCGGATCATGTTGAGGAGGTCCTGGAATCACAAGACTCCAGTTCTGAAGTTGTTATGGTGAGTGTGGATGGCCATATATTGAAAGCACCCATCTTATCATCTGAAATGAATGTGGAAGATGTCAAATTAGACACGCCTAGGTTTCATCTAGGTCCTGGTCAGGGGACAGATTTTTCTGATAGTAACTCAGAGTTCATCTCAGGTGAAGCTACATGGGCTGATGAGTATCTGAGTTATCAGGCGTCACCAAAAGTTTCTCCTGCAGACGCTTGCAATGTGAAAAAAGAGAGCAGCAAGGTTGAGCACCAGACAGATGTTTCTGAAGTAGATGGCCGATATTCAGTGAATCTAGACATCAAGAACCAGGAAAATGGCAAAGTGGAGATCACATCATGTATCATTAAGAAGAATGCAGTAGCCAACAGCTGTTTGGAGCTCCAAGCATCTGGCACGCATGTTGAGAATGAGGTTAATCAGCCAGATGTGGTTTCTCCTGCAAAGATCCAGGAAGTGGTTGACGATTTAGAAAACAAGCCTCCTGGGAAACTGGGAGACTGCAGTTCGTTAAATCCTGCTAAAACCCTCCCGCAAGGCGAATCAGTGATGGATTCTAATGGTTCTGATGGCTCAATAGACCATCAGGTTGTTAGTGATAAACACCCTGAGAAACAGAACAATGTATCTTTAGCAACTGAAGCAATACAGAGTGGCCAGAAAGGACCAGATGAATGTACGCAATGTGTAGATGTGAAGCATCTTATAGAAGCTTTTCTTAAAGGTACAAAAGCTGATTCAGCACAAGTGGGGGGTCCCTCTTGTTGTAGAATATGATTGCAGCCTCTCATTTATTTTTTGATTTATTGCAAATTCTCACTAATTTCGCACACTTTTAGTAATAGTGACAGGAGTAGAGATATCTCTTTGTGGCAGCTTGCTTCATGCTGGAATGGGTTCTAGTGCTGCTAGAGAAGCCTTTGATGCAAATTACATATCTGAGGAGGAATTCAGAAGTTCTTCAGAATCCATAATCAAGAACAAAAACTTAGTTGTCAGAATTCGAGGAAACTATATTTTGTGGGATAGAGCTGCTCCTATCATTCTTGCCTTGGCCGAATGTGATACGGAACTGCCTGTTGAATGTGCTGATTTCATACCTGTGGAGTTGGAGGAGACCTCAAAATCAGGAGAGGATGGTAGTGAGATCTCTTCAGTTCCTTCTGGACGACGATGGACTCTCTGGCCAAATCCATTTAGAAGGGTTAAGACACTTGAGAAAAGTAACTGTAATTCATCAAATGAAGAAGTCTTTGTTGATTCTGAATCTGGTTCAGTGTACCAGCCTATGGAACAAACAGCAATCGCTCAAGGAGGCAAGGGATCTCCTCCGTTGCAACTCGTGAGAACAAATATTCCCACTTCCAGTCAAATCACATCTTTAAACTTGAAGGAGGGGCAGAATGTGGTAACTTTCATTTTCTCAACCCGAGTCCTAGGGGAGCAAAAGGTTTGTCGTCTTTCTTTCAATCAAAATATTTTGTTCTAATGACGTGGTCTACTGTATTTTTCTATTCTTATTTTGGTTGCTCAAGCAACTTTCTGAAACAGGTTGAATCCCATATATACTTGTGGAAGTGGAACGCAAAAATTGTTATTTCTGATGTTGACGGGACTATTACCAAGTAAGATTTTGCACTAAAATGTTGGCCTTTAAAATTGAATGTTTGTGCATGCTATCTAGAAGATTGTCTTTTGCATACTTGAACTTATAAAGCCTTTTGAAGTCATTAAAGATTTAATGGATAAAGTTAGGAGTTCTGTCAAATAAATCGGGATGGACTTGGGAGTTTTTATTTTCTTGAACTGCTGCATAACAAATCGAACGATTCTTGCTCTTCTTTTTAGACTACATATGGATTGTGCATTGTCTAAGTTACTAGATTAGCAGAAGTTCTGAACTCAGTAGAACATTGCTTAATGCACTTATAATATCTTCCCCAAGAATATCTATAACCTTAAAAATTTATGAGGCTATCAATAAAGGCTAAAGTCTGACAAGGTTAGATTGTGTTAAGTTATCGGAAATGAGTAGAACTGAAATACCAAAAATTCTGATTCATGCGTAGTTGAGTTGAACAATGAGAAGATATATTTTTGGGGTGCCTATTGAGGAATATACTACTGTAAGCTTCATCTGGTTTATGTGAGAAAAATATGCTTAGTGATCATTATTTCTTTAGAAGTAAAAGTAATAATCCACATTTTATGTTACTGTCAAAATTGACTGTGAATGTGGATATATATGATAACATACCTTTGGGCTACATGTTTCATCGTCCAGGTCCGATGTTCTTGGTCAGTTTATGCCTTTGGTTGGGAAGGACTGGACACATTTTGGAACTGCCAGACTTTTCTCTGCAATCAAGGTACTTCTTTCTCTGACCTACATTCGAGATTTTGCATTTGTGCTCTCCATTAGTTCTATAAAACAGTAATATTTATTATGTGTCTAACTAGGACATGTGTTTGCTTACCCATTTTGATTGTGACAACTGACAACAGTCACATTAAGAACCAGCTTAAGACTATTCATCAAGACCACCATATCATGATATCTGCTGTCTCTACTTTTCTACACAACTAGCATGCAGTATTCCTAGGCGAGATGCCATTCCTTGAGGAAATTAGTAGTTCATGGGAATTCCTCTCCAAATTTCTGAGTATATTGTGTGGTGGAATCTGTTTTATGCCATCTTTTTGTAAATGGATCATCAAAATATGTCTAAATTTGATTCTTCTAATATTTTGACCATCAGTTCTTAAACTGCTTCAAGTTCAATTAAATGTTGATCAGATTTTCACAGCTAGTTCAGTTGCATCTCCTAAGGAAGACTTATATAAAATGGCATGGATGTCTGACACAAATGATGCTGAACATTATTTTTACCTCACTTCTATTTCACTTATATTGACCCAAGTTTTCTTTAGTAGTTCATTATGGATACTAGTGTTGATATGTTTTGGCTTATTAACTGCAGGAAAACGGATATCAGCTACTCTTTCTCAGTGCACGTGCTATTGTTCAAGCATATCTGACCAAGAATTTCCTGTTCAATCTCAAACAGGTAATAGATATGCATTCATGAGATATCAACCACACCAGTCCTAGGCTTCTGAATTATAGCCTACATATTCTTCTGAATCCCAGGGAAAGAGTTGGTTGAAATTTCTCCTTGAACATTTTCAAATCTAGTGGGTCTTGTGGTGTTTAAGTTAGCTTGACTTATAACTCTCACAACTTGGCCTTTCCTTTTCATTACTTGTACTTTTCTCCTACTTTTCATTGTTCTCTCCCTCTGTGTGTGTGTCTGTTTCTTTTCTTCTTGGAATAAAAAGAGTCTCAGAGGATCATTTTGCTCATGATACTTGTCGTTCAACAGTATGTGCCACTTTGAATTTCTTGGATGTGACTTTCGTTGTCTTGTCATTGCTCTGCGGTCTGATTATCCAACAGATCTCTGACTATAAAGGTTATATGCTCTGTAGGATGGAAAAACCCTACCCACTGGACCTGTTGTCATTTCTCCCGACGGTTTATTTCCATCGTTGTATAGAGAAGGTACGACCGTATCCTTCTAATGTCTTCTCATGCTTGTTGTCTGCGTCAAAATGCTTGATTGGTACATAAAAGTTGGACATATTTCTTGGTGTTTGGCCATGCTGAAAGTATTAAAAATCTCTGGTTTTCCTCATGGAATAGTTTACCGACATTTTCTGCAGACAATTACATTGAAGAGCCTATATGTTTCAATTTGTTTGTCCTACTTTCCTTTTTTAGAAACTCTTTAACTCCACCTTTCACATGACATTTTAAGACCACAAAATTAAAGAGCATTTTGGTATATTTGACATATCTTTAATTTTAAACCACAAGGTTCAAAAGTTTTACTTTCTTAAACTTCAGTCCAACAAACAAACTGAAACGGGGGAGTATTTACTTTTCTGGTAGGATCATGAATATTTTGTGTTCATGTGATTGGTTGCGTATGTTTCGACCATTGCACAAAAGAATGCATGTATGCCATAGTTAGCTCTACCATAGACTTAGCTATTTTCTATTTTCTTGTTTAAAGGAAAAGATCTAGCTTGGAGTATGCAGATTATATTCCAGCTCTATAAGTTCATCTAAATCTAATGGGAAGTAAATACACTAAGCACGATATCTCTTCAATTGTATTCTTTTGATGTCCTAATTTCCGTACCTCTTTCTTCATGCGCATGTGCTGATAGTCTGATGGAAACATTGTTCCAGTTTAGTAGGGATTGTTGTCTCTTTTTCTGCCTATTATTTTGTACCATGTCTTCATTTTCAAAGTGGCGATTGAAAGCATGTTGAAGGCAATCATTTTCCTACTTTAAGAAGGATTACATGTTATCTTATTCGATTAACTTCTTCCTTATTTTCATCATGTCAGTTATAAGAAGAGCTCCTCATGAATTCAAGATAGCCTGTTTAGAGGTATGCACCTCAAGCTGACATTTCTTTATGCGGACTCCAACCATTTGGTATCTTCTATTAGTTGTCCTTCTAATGCTATTTTTACTTTTCAGGACATCAAAGCACTCTTCCCACAAGATTATAACCCATTTTATGCAGGGTTCGGGAATAGGGACACCGATGAATTCAGTTACAGAAAAATTGGAATTCCTAAAGGCAAAATTTTTATAATCAACCCAAAGGTCAGCAATCCCTGCCATATGCTTTGTTGTCAACTTCAGGATTTGTTAATTTAGTGTACAATGTTTGCCTAACATGTTAAAGTGGACTCACAGGGGGAGGTATCGATTAATAACCAAATTGATGTGAAATCCTATACTTCATTGCACAGTCTAGTTGATGACATGTTCCCACCGACATCCATGGCTGAGCAGGTCAGAAGCAATTTCTCATTTTTTCGTGTATTATCATCTCGTTAGTTAGCATGTATTCAAGTGTTAAAAGGTGAGATAATTGATACAGTTTAGGGGTGAAACAGATGCAATGCTGTTACTTTAATACCTTATCCTAGGCTCATCTAGTTGATCGAGGGATAGACAAGTATAAAGAAGGGATTGAGAATCTTTTATTTGATCTTGCTTTGACGTATATGTTGCGATGCCTGCGTTTGAAGGAGGATTGTGGGGTTAAGATTGCATTGTCAGATTCTGCAACAAAAGCACCATAGTCAATCCTTGAATTAGGCTCACATATATTGATGTGTTATCTATGTTGTTTCAACACCTATAAATCCAAGTTAGAGACAATTCAATTCTCTCCGTCTCATCTTGTTCACCCCCTCCATTCCCGTGGCTTTTTACATCTAACTTCACCGATAGATTTAGAAAGTTAACAACTATCTTCCCCACATTTGCACAAATGATCTATCTATCATCCCACAAAAATGTGTGTTGTTTGCACAAATGAAAAAATCTCTTGTTATTTTCTATCCCCACCATTTATTTCTGGATTTTCATTCTGTTTGCAGGAAGATTATAACATATGGAATTACTGGAAAATGCCCATCTCAGACATCGATTACTTGTAGAGATTTATCTCCTTCCAGCTCTTTGAAAGGAGGAGCTGTAGTTGCTGATTTTTTTGGTCTAATTGTAAGGAAAAAAAAAAACTTACTCGCACTTGACGTTTCTACCAAACCAAGATGAAGGTGTGAGAGTACATACCATTTGTGATAACAAAAGTTTATATGCAAGACGCTTGTCCTGTCATCATTAGTTTGATGTAAACACAGCAGATGCAAAGTTAATTTTTTTCTTTTTCTTATTACAATTGTATAAAAACGATTGTGTAGTCACGATCAATTCATATTGTCGTTTCATTTAAAGCATAAATTCCTCATGAAATAAAATTATTGGAACAATTTTTTTTTTTCAACTTTACTTGCATTTCTTATATTATATGCAATCAAAAATATTTTTATTTCTCATATACATTACGCCAATATTGTTTAATACAAATCCACGATTTCAAGAAGATGGATGCGCTATTACGAAAGATTGATATCAAAACTTTTCATTTGACGTGTTAAGCAATACTTTGAGCTTGAGTTCACACATCTATATTAACGAATCCCGACTCCACGCCAAGGTGCTAATGAATGGGCTATGGCAGCAGACACATTTTGCCCTTTCTCTGCTAAAGTCTCCCAACAAGCTCTCCACTTTGAATCACCTAAAATCCCTCCATGTGTACCTCCTCCGCACCGGCCTTCACCGCAGCAGTTTCGCCGTCGGAAACTTCATCACCCATTGTGCTTCTCTTGGACTCATGTCATATGCAGCTCTACTGTTCGATCAAATGCCTGAACCAAATTCGTTTGTTTGGAATACACTCATAAGAGGGTTCCAACAGAATCGTGCTCCGAAATATACCCTTTATTATTTTGATCAAATGCGGGCAAACAATGTCCAGCCTGATAGATTTACTTACCCTTTCGCCATTCGTGCTTGTTCAGGTTTACTGGAGTGTGCTAAAGGAGTTAGTCTTCATGGTCAGGTGGTTAAAATTGGAGTCAATTTTGATGTCTTTGTGGGTACTAGTTTGGTTGATTTTTATACTGCTATGGGGGATTTGAACATGACGAAGAGAGTTTTTGAGGAATTGCCGGAGAAAGATGAGATAACATGGTATGCGATGTTATCGAGCTATGTTAACAAGTTCAATGACATGAGGAAAGCTCGAGATTTATTCGAAAAGATACCATGTAAGGATCTTGTAATTTGGCATACCTTAATCCTGGGGTATGTCAAAGCTGGGGACTTGGAGCTTGCGAAAAAGTATTTTGATGAAGCGCCTGTTAAGGATTTACTCATGTACAATACAATTTTAGGTTGCCTTGCCAAGAATGGTGAAGTTGAATGTCTCTTGAGATTGTTTCGTGAAATGCCTTGTAGGGATTTAGTATCTTGGAATACGGTAATTGGAGGGCTCGTACGTGATGGGAGGATTAACGAAGCTATGAGATTCTTCTATGAAATGGAAAGAGTGAATTTATCGCCTGATGATGTTACCCTGGCAAGCTTGCTCTCTGCTTGTGCACAAGCTGGAGCTCTGGATACTGGGAAATGGTTGCACTCATATATTGATAGGAGGTGTTCTGAGTTAAATGCTGTGATTGGGACAGCTCTGGTAGATATGTATAGCAAGTGTGGTGATTTAGGGAGTGCTGCGGATGTCTTCAATAAGATGTCTGAACGTGATGTTGTAGCTTGGAGTGCTATGATCATGGGGTCCTCGATGAATGGGCAAAGTAGAACTGCATTGAACTTCTTTTACCGTATGAAAGATGAATCTGAAAGACCAAATGATGCGACAATTTTGGGGGTTCTGTGTGCTTGTGTGCATGGAGGGTTGGTTGATGAGGGAAAGAAGTGCTTTTATGGCATGTCTGAGGAGTTTGGATTAACACCAAAGTTGGAGCATTATGGTTGTATGGTTGATCTCCTTGGTCGAGCTGGTTTGCTAGATGAGGCGTATAGTTTGATACAATCTATGCCATGTGAGCCACACACGGGGGCCTGGGGAGCCTTACTAGGAGCATGCAAGATACATAGAAATGTTGAGCTTGCTGAAAAGGCCATAGAACACTTGATCCAACTTGACCTTGATGATGGGGGCTACCTCGCAATAATGTCCAACATATATGCTAATGCAGGAAGGTGGGAAGATGTCTCAAAAGTCCGAAAATTGATGAAGGAAAAAGGCATTGGTAAATCACGAGGGATTAGCTCCATTGAGGTTAACGGGGTAATACATGAATTTGGTGTCCAAGAGAAAAAACACCCTCAAGCCAGAGAAATATATGATATGATAGATGAGATTTATAGACGACTAAAGAGGGCAGGCCACGTTGCAAGCACCAGAGAGGTATTTTTCGACGTTGAAGAGGAAGAAAAGGAAAAGGCTCTGTTCTTCCATAGTGAGAAAATGGCTGTTGCTTTCGGACTTATTGCTACTGATAAAACAACTATCATTCGTGTGGTGAAAAACCTTCGCATTTGCCCTGATTGTCATGCAGCTATGAAGCTGATTTCTGCTAGCTTTGAAAGAGAAATAGTCATTAGAGACCGTCATCGTTTTCACCACTTCAAGAATGGCGTTTGCTCTTGTAGAGACTATTGGTGAAAATATACAAATCCCCCTTCAACCATGATTGCTCATGTCAGTGCAAATGGAGAATTGCTAAACAAGATCTCCTACCTAAGACAGGCTGTGAAACAAACAGTATCATGGGCGATTTCTTGGCCTGAAGTCATGGACTTCCCCGTTCCCCCTGGTGTAGCTATTGACAAGTGCGCCTGTCGCCTCACCAGCCACACACACCTGTGCCCATACACAGGCAATGCCCACAGGTCACAGCACCGATCAGAAAGCAGCACCCTTAGCACCAGGACACACTTGTATTATAACCAATGCCCTGCGCATAGTGCATACGGGATGAAGCCAAAGACAAGGACACACTCTCTCCAAGTGTCAGTAATAATCAGCCAAACTACCCTTCTAATTCATGATGTTGTACAAGTTACATTGAGTCCTTTGTACAGCCACAGCTTATATGTTCATTTTATAGCCTTACATTTTTAGTAGTACGAGTTTTTGTCTCCATTTTTGAAGCCATGGTTAAAACATAAAAGACGTTATCATAATTCATTTTCGTTTTCTGAGTTTCTATTTCCATATTCAATCGAAAAATGTAGAAAATAAACAGTATTTGACTTAACAAGATGATAGTCTGAGATTAAATAGAAAGAAATACACTAACTAAGATTAGCGCAAAATTTTATCGACAAAAAGGAATTTAAGAAAAATGAAAAAGGAATAGGGGACAATGTATATTTGTTTTTGTAGAAATTTAAATATTATGCACTTCTAGCACAAACAAAAACCTTCTTCAAATAGTGCTTGTACCATTTTGCTGTGATTGCTTTCTCTTCTCTTCATCTACCATTAATATATCCGGCCAGTTTCCAGAGGCGAATTCGTTTACAAAACTGCTGAAATGCAGCTTCAGTATTTCCAGCAACGACCTACTGCAATCGATCACTGTTCTTCATATCTTGTCTGAGATGACACACAGATACTCTGAAACCACTATAGCTTGAATCAGAGAGCAAACATTGGATTTACATCTGAATCGGAAAATTCTGTGTGAAATGAGTTGGTTCTAGTCCTTGTAAACTTCTCCCTCTTCCTGATTTTGCGAATTCTTTTAGACTTCACAACATAATAAGTCATTGCACCTAAAACCCCTGCCATTATGATCCCTGCAACAACTGTAACAAAAATTGCAGCCCATATATTACGCTTTCCAATAACGACATAAGAAGCAGATACAAAGGCCAGACTAGTGAAAACCGCGGCCAACCACATGAGTTTGTTAATCACCCCAATAACCCTTTTCTCTGATTTTGTCTCACCCCTGACTACTGTGATTTGTACAACCACGACAGCCAAGGACGTGAAGAGTGCAAGAGCATTTGTGATATAGAAGATCTTAAATGCAGGGGTGTTGGAGGCCACAGCGTATCCGGAATCAAGATCACCACCAGGAACTGTGAATATAGCAGCAAAAGCTACTGTTGCAAAAAGAGAGGCAACTATAGTTACAGAATTGGTAGCAGTGTTAATTCCTTCTCTGTGGAGCTTTTGAAGCTCCTTTGCAATACCAGTCATGTTCTTGTTAGTCCTTCGAGCTTGTTCAAGCTGGGAGTGAACATTTATCTTAATTTCTGTCACAGTCTTCCTAAGCTCATCTCGCGGCTGATTCAATTCATTGGCTCTACAAGCACCATAACGTTGCAAACACTCTTTTAGTTCTGTAGATTCTTCAGACATAGGAAGACCTTCAGCTATGTCTAGAGCTGTTTTGTTTTCTCTAGTCAATGCATTGACATTTGTGTCATCGAGCATCAATAGTTCTTGCACTATCTGCAGTCATATAAAGCTAAATTCAAAACACAGATTCTTTAATACCTAAACATTACCAGTACCGTATAAAGACCACTTTCATTTGACAAGCTATGTTACAGTCAAAAAGCTTGACAACTTCTTATCCTTAAAAAGGATGAAATTCTAGAGAAACCTAATAGTTGTTCCCTATTCCTGCCTGAACAACTGATCGTTGAGGTGTGTTAATGCATAGCTGATGATAGTGCAGGTAGGTAAATAGAACAACTGATAGTTGAGGTGTGAAAATTCGCAAAAAAGTGAGAGTTCATGTGTGTTTTTGACTATTATTCTAAAAATTATTCAGAATGTCTAAAAATGCTTTAGGGATCTCTAGAACATCTAAAGCGTTTGACATGACGTTGGAGAGAAAGGTTACTCCATAGTAATAATTTGAACTCCTGTAGTATCTTAGCTACACCTAGTAAGACACAATGAATCACATCCAACAGATGTATCTAAAAGGAAATTTGAGCATGCTCAAATCAAATTAAACCGAAACTGGGGAGAGAATATTAAGATGGCCTTAACATTTAGCCCACGTAGAACAATGAATCACAGCTTTATGCCATCAAAAGTAGTTAAACAGAGCAATAATGATTTACCTCTGACCGCTTTTTCCGTGTGGCAATATGTAATGCAGTATTGCCAAACTTATCCGGAAGCATTACAATAGCTGGATCTGCTTGCAGAAGCAACTTCACCACTTCACAGCTAACGCCTTTTACAGCCATGTGTAAAGCAGTCTGTCCTTTCTTATCAGTTCTTCTTGCCAGTTGTGGATCCTTATCCAGCAATGCTTGAACAATATCCACGTGGCCTTGACGTGCAGACAAATGTAACGCGTTTTTTCCATTAGATCTTGATATCTCTAACAAGCTAGAATCCTTGGAAAGCAATTCATGGACAACTGATGTATGCCCTTTTGTGGCTGCAGATACAAGAGGAGTTGCATTCGATTGACCAACTGTCCTGCTCAACTCTGGCTCATGCTCCAACAGTAACTTAACAATAGCTGCAAATACATTTTCCACGCGTTAAATTATAAATTCCTCGGATTCAACTGATCTGATTGATTAATTTTTGGACTAAGACAAATTCATTTTCTTTGCCTTTTCCTGTAAAACTAGTTGTCAGACACCAGAAAGCAATATCGAGTGATTTGCTTCGTTCTTAACCTCAGATCATTTGCTTGACAATGACAAATGGTAGGGTAATTGAAGCAAAGGAAACAACATATAAATAGTAAAATTAAAGAATACGATAGTAGGAGAGTAATACTGATAAGGAAAACTAAACTAGGCTCGACTATCTACTAACACAAACGATTCTTCAAATCTATATATAAATTTTTTATTACCTTGATGACCTTGGTTAGCAGCAATGTGCAAGGGATCAAGACCAGAACGATTCTTCGTCGTGATCCCTTCCTTTGTACTATAAGGCAACAACTCCTTAACAACATCAATATATCCCCTTTCAGCAGCGGTAAACAACGCTGTTTCGCCTAATTCATTTACCTCATTCACCATTGCTTCCCTTATCTCAGCAACCTCTGCATCAAACTCCGCCCCGCTCATGGTTTTCAACATCTGTGCATCAATTTCCCCTAATATATCCCTCACAGCACCCACATCCCCACGCTGAGCCGCGAGATGCAGCTCCGTATCGTTATGTCGCCCTGTCACCTGCTTTACATACTTTTTCTTCCCTGTTGGATCCATCCTTTTCCCTGAATTCGATAAAAGTAATGCTTTCCCTGAATTTGACACAAACAGGGCTTTCCCTGAATTTGATGGAATCAAAGCTTTGCTTGAATGTGACACCACAAGTGCCGGTGCTCTTGGCGACGGCGACGATGATGGCTCGCCGGCATAATTCATGTTCGAAATTGGATGTGGGGCCGAAGGTAGCCCCATTTCCAGATCCATCAAACCTGAATCACACAAATCCAAAACACAAGTGTATAATCATATAATATAACAATAACAACGTCTCAATCCCAAACAAGTCGATTCATGGCATTACCTTGTTGGTTGATGGAAGAAATTATAGATTTATTTATTTATTTTTGATTTTACGATTCCATCAATGGAATTTTTATTTTTTAATTCGTAATTGAAGAAATGGAGGGAATTAGGGGCGACGGCTGACGGAAAAGGGAAGTGGGGGGACGCCGCCGGTGGTGGTGAAGGTGGTTAAAACGGTTAATATAAAATGATATAAACGCCGCCGTAGTGATTACCATATTCTTAACGACCAAAAGCTTCGGATTTTGTTTGTTAGTCATAATATTTGAATTCTAACTTTTGTGTTTTTTTTTTTACTTTAGTGGCTATTATTAGAGTATATAATTTTTAGTGGTGGAGTGTAATTACACTTGCTCAAAATAATAATTTTATATAAACAAACAAATTATATGTATTATTAACATATGTATTGTGGTGGAATGATCGAGATTCTTCTGCTCTTAACTAGAGATTACATATTCGAGTTTTTGGGAATGAAAAATATTAGAGAAAATTTTAAAAATAACGAAGATAATAGATAATATAAGGTTCAATAGTTATAGTTTGGTAATTGCGCTTCGTAGTTATAGTTTCGTTTAATATAGAGGCTGACTTTGTATATTTTGTTTGCAAATATACAGAAAAGGTAAGTATATACCAATGAAAACTGTTGTTTATATATTTTCCTTACGAATATACAAACAAGGTAAGTATATAGAAATTTCGTATTTATATATACATTTAGGAATTTTTCAGAATTTCGTTTGTATATTTACCTTATCAATACACAAACAAGGTAATTTATAACGAATTTTTCTTAAATCGTATGCAAATAGCTATATAAGCATATACCTCATATATTACTTTTTCTTTATACTATTGTAAATTTATTGTTCAGATTGTTGATGTAAGGAGCATCATAAAATGATGCAATGTATTTCAACATTGTACACATCTGATACATTATGAAATTGACTAAATGATATATAACAATATGTATCAACAAGTCCGGCTCCCATGGATAAAGATGTAGCATAGCTGGTTCTGAGGTAATCCATGGTTTTGATGGGTTTTTCAGTATTATCCAGGGGATTTGCAGTGGTCATCATGGCAGATCGAATAGCGGAAGGACTCCAATCAGGATGTACTCCTTTTAGCATTGCAGCAATTCCGGAAATGTGAGGAGCAGCCATCGAAGTGCCTGAAAGAAGACTGTAATCACTATTCAAAAATGTATTGACACCAATGACTGCAGCTGAAGTGTTCGATGGCCAGGCTGCTAAAATTAACTCCCCTGGTGCCATAATATCTGGCTTTGCAACTCGTAGATAGCTTAGAGAGGGGCCTCTCGAGGAAAATGTCGAAACAACTGGAGCAGGCTTAACAGAAAAATGTGTTTCCTGTAAACTGATGCTGACTTTTGGTTTAGCACTTGTTTTTGCATAGTCTACCACCTTTTTCCAATCCTTACTGCTGATTACAGCTCCAGGAGTCGTAAAATAATTGGATGACAATACATCCGGATCTCCATAAACATATGCGCCTCCAAATTTTGCCTCTGAGATAGCCCCCATTTGATCAGAGACTGATAAGTCTTCTTGTGAAGTGCTATAACAAAGAGTGATGCTACGTGCTTTATTAGGGACTAGGGCTAAATCATCAGACGAATCACAAGTGGATAGGCTTCCATTGTAAACCAAATCAAAATCGTTGTTGTTGGTTTTCACTGGAAACAAGCTAAATCCAGTAATCTTTAAGCCATTCCCTAAAGTTATAGTCCCCGAAAATGATCGGTCAGTACTGCCTGATGCCACAGTAAAGATCCAGGGGAATCCATTGGATAAAGTTCCCATTTCAGGACCATTATTCCCAGCTGAAGCAGAGACTGACACACCCTTCATCATGGCACCAAAAGAAGCTATTGCAATAGCATCTTCATACAGTGGACCAAATCCATACCCATAAGAAATTGATATTACGTCAACGCCATCTGCAACCGCTTGGTCCATAGCAGCAATTAAATCAGAAGTGACAGTCCCTTCTTCAAAGCTAAACTTATACACAGCAAGCCTAGCTCGTGACGCAATACCTCTTGCTGTTCCAGGAGCATATCCAAAATATGAAACTCCTTTTACAGGACTACCAGCAGCAATGGAAGCAACATGAGTGCCATGACCTCTCGTATCTCTTGCAGAATTCATGGAAAGGACGATAGTAGGATCGCTAGCCAAAAGCCCCTTATTGAAATAATTCGCTCCAATGAGTTTCCTGTTGCACAATGAAGAATTGAAATCTGTTCCTGGCTTGCAAATTCCCTTCCACCTTTTTGGTATTGCAGATAGTCCATCATCTCTGAAACTAGCAGATTCTGGCCAGACACCAGTGTCGAGTACACGGATGATCACATCTTCACCAAAACCAGACGCCGGCCATAGCCCTGAAGCAGGATTAAGCTTAAGAAACTCAGGGGAATGTGTAGTGTGAGCTTCAACAGGCCTGTCTTTATAAGCTGAAACAAAGCCTGGAGACTTCTCGAGTGCTTCGATTTCATCTTTAGACAACACAGCACTGAAGCCATGAAGGACACTGTCATAAGAATAAAGAAGCTTTGGAAGTGGATGGTGGGTATTTCGTGTAGTGGGAGCTTCAATCTTGACGGTATCAATAATGTAAGAATGCCAGTTTTGGTGAGTCGCTAAGATTTTAGGCATAAAAGACTTATCCAAATGGACAATGTAAGTAGACCTCTCAGCTGAGGTTCCTAAAAACAAAGAAAGAAACAAAGAAAAGGAACTATTGTCTTCATAGTTATATCTCTTTATTTGTGTTTTCCTACTATGACAGAGGCCTCCTTCTTATACACACTCTAAGAGTCATTGTGAATCAATTTCAAATTTCCAATGGATGGTCATTTTTACTAGTTTAAGTAAGTGGAATTATAGCCACTTTTGTTAATGGAAACAGGATTCCTGTACATGCACCAATTTATCAAAACAGTTCTTCAAACAGATGCATTCGAGCATCGAGTTTTTGTAAACAACTTCTCTATCTCCGCAAGATAATGATAAGGTCTGCGTACATTCTACACTTTCCAGAACCATTTATGAAATTTAAGTGGATATTTCTCTTTAAAAGAAGTACTTTGGCATTGTTTCTCAAAAATATCTTTTTCCACTAACATGCATAACAGTTACATTTTCAAAAAAGAAATTACAAAAAAACAATATCATGTGTTTCATTTCTTAAATGTCTCACAAAATCCCAAAAAAGTCTTTCAATTCATCAATATTATACTCATCTAACATAATATTTTACAAACGATACATGTCAATCATCTAAATAAGTTTATATTGCTTGGTATTTTGTTTCAAAGTTTGCCTATCCGCGTTTTAATTGACGAAAGAATAATGAACGATCGGAGTAATTAATTAATTAATTAATTTATATATATATATATGCATGCGTTGAAATTTCAGTAAATTACACTAAAAATTAAATCTCTCTATATTCCTAAATAATTATATATTTAATCTTGATCATCAATTAAAAACAACTGGGAAAGTGAGTTTCTCTTAGTGCATGAGTCGTTTAATTAACAACTCATAAATTGAATTATTCTTAACGCATGAGTCCTTCTTACTTATCATCATCTTCTTCTTCTTCTTTTTCGAATCGAACCACTTTTTGATTTTCTGAATTGCACTTCCATTATTGATCTTCAACTCGTAACTAGTAATATATATCTGCCTGTATGACATCATTGTAATTATTTCTTCTTCTTGTTCTTAGATCTTATTTGCAAAATTTATAACTCAGCCTTTTAAAAGTAAATTTATGTATAATCGATCATTATTGATACATATATTTATAAGTTGTACATCAAATCCTACGTAGATAAGAATTAGGTCTACGTAATAATTTATAGTAACTATTTTTTATGAAGTTATATATCAAAACCTACATAGATAAGAATAAGGTCTACTTAATTTAGAGTTTTAAAAAAAAAATCTTCAATTTTTTTCCTTTTTCTTTTTCCGTGTATGTGTGTTGAGCTTTTTTAGTGAGGGAGTTAGGAAACTTTAATTTTTTAATATAAGTTATATATCAAATCCTACATAGATAAAAAAAAAAATTAATTAGGTCTACTTAATTTATGGTAATTTTTTCTTTCTGTCTCTTTTTTTAAAAAATTTAGAATTCGAATGTAATGTCAGCTGCATATACTCAGCTTATTAGTGTAATTAATTATCAAATAATTGGTATTTAAAGAATAATTGAGCAGTGTATTCATTTAAGGATTAATGAACAGTGTTTTCATTGAAGGACTGCTTCTTCCTCCTTGATACCTTCATAGTATAGTATAATCTGGTTGTATCAATGAGTAAATAAGCAGTGTTTTCATTGAGGTTTGCTTTAGTCCTTCGATGAGATTTACTCAATCATCCATGATACCATTGCTGTATATAATATTGTGGTATTTTCAATTCTTCTATATTTTAATTTAAAAACAGTTTTAAAAAGAGTCATAATTTAGTTACAATTTTTTAAAAATTTGTAAAAAGAGAAAAAGTAATATTTTCTACTAATTAATTTGGAGTTTAATATCAAATGTATAGCAAAATATACTTATTAATAGTCATAGCAAACATAAATTTTGCTATGAAACATAATTATGCAAACTATAGTTATAACATACAAATATAATTTTTGTACTTATTATATGTAAAAGTTGCTCAAAAATTATATAATTTTCATATTTGTTATATGTGAAAGTTGCTCAAAAGTTATATAATTTTTGTACTTATTATATGTAAAGTTGCTCAGAAGTTATATTGGGTTAAAATTACTTATTCAAAATGCTCCAATTATAATTTATTAATACTGAAAATGGTCATTCATCTATAATATATTCCTCTCATATTTGTAGACCTCATTTAGGTAATATTTCAATTTAATTTGCATTCTTATTGTTCCAAAATTCTTACACGTAGAATATGAGATAAGATTTCTAATCTCATATATTTAATAGACAAAATTAGATCAACATCTCATTCATTTCTCTTTCTTTCTATTTTCTTGCTTTGCCTAGAAATGGAAAAAAAGAGAGTAAATTATCAAAAACAAATTCCAAAAAGTCAATAAGGTAGTTAGAGACGTTTATAAGCTGAATACTGCTCGATGGTTACATTGTAGGGAAATATTATCTAACTAAAAAAAATAATCATAATTATTATACATCATACATATATATGGTTATGTATTATTTACAATATTAATACATTATATAACTATTTATACAAAATCGATATATTATATATACATGCGATCATTTTATTGATTATTTTTTCATCTGTATAGTCAGGAGCGGAACTACCTTATGGTCTGTGTTCTATTCAAACTTCCTTCAGCGAAAAATTATACTACATGATTAATATAATTTTTAATGTATATATAGTAGATGTGTCTCCCTCTAGTTTTTATGTCTACTCTAGTCTTCGGTTAGTTCTTATGTCTACTTCTTCAAATTTTAAACTCTCTTAATTAAAATTCTAGCTCTGCCCCTGTGTCCTTATATATTAGACCAAAAGAAAGACTATACAAATATTGCTTTGAACTTGAGAATTGAGATATCCCCTCTTTTGACTTTGCTATCTAATGGATTTACAATTTTCATTCAACTTCATTTTCTTAATCCTTTTCCTATCATTCCTCTATCTACTACTTGTGGAATTGAAAAAATCAAGAAACTTAAACAAAAAACTTCCTCCAGGCCCATGGAAATTGCCCATTATAGGAAGTATCCATCACTTGGCATTAGAAGATGGACTTCCCCATCATGCACTCACAAAATTGGGCAAAAAACATGGGCCTTTAATGCACCTTCAACTAGGAGAAATTTCTACAATCGTAGTTTCTTCTATGGAAATGGCGCGAGAGGTAATGAAAATTCACGATCTTGCTTTTGCATCGAGGCCTAAATTAGTATCCCTCGACATAATACTTTACAAGAGCACGGACATCGCGTTTTGTTCTTATGGAGATTACTGGAGACAGATGCGCAAAATATGTGTCTTGGAACTTTTCACTGCCAAGAACGTACGATCGTTTAGTTCCATCAGGAGAGAGGAGGGTTCGAACCTCGTGCAATTCATCCGGTCCTCAACACGTGGCGAACCGATAAACGTTACTAAACAAATTTCATGGTACGAGAGTTCAATCACATGCAAAGCAGCATTTGGGGAATTGTTGAAAGATCAAGAGAAATTCATTGGAATAGTGAGGGAATTGGCAGAATTGACTGGTGGATTTAGTGTGGCTAATATTTTTCCTTCAATCAAAATCCTTCATGTGTTAAGTGGAGTGAGGAGTAGAATCTTGAAAGTTCACGAAAATGTTGATGCTATTGTTGAGGATATTATCAGTGACCACAAGAGGAATATTGCAAGTGGTAAAAGGGGAAATGGTGCATTTGGAGGTGAAGATTTAGTTGATGTTCTACTAAGATTAATGGAGAGTGGGGCACTTAAAATCCCAATCACCAATGATAACATCAAAGCAATTATGATTGTAAGTATTCTTACTTATAATTAAATCTATTCAAAGAATTTTTTCACGAAGAATAAGCGAATTTACTATGGACCTCCTTGAGATTTATTTGAACTCCATGAAAAGATTTTGTAGATCTTGAAGTAATAAGTTATCAATAAGAGTTTGGTCACATCTTGATATGATATTTGTCGATATGATGTAATTTTTTAGATTCATATTCAAGGGAGAGTAAATTTTCGTCTTAGAAAACATAAAAATCATATTTATATGCTATAACTATAATTTGTATAATTGTGCTTCATAACAAACTTTATGTTTGCTATGGAGCATCATATTTGTATAAATCATTGGCAGCCTCTCAATCCAATTTTATGTGTTGGTATATCAGCATAAAATTTGAATTTATATACATTTGAATCAAAATAAAACATTTGTATATCAAAATCTCTCTTTCTCTTGCTTTATACAATACAAATCATAAGTTGTAATTTGATAATATGTGTTTGTATAAAGCAAGAAAGAGAGATCAAAGCAAAGAGACCTTGGCAGGCGAGATCTGTATTTGTATAAGTATATAGGATTAAAATATGTATATTTTTGTATTTTTATATATAATTTTCTCTCGCTTTAAGAAAAACGCATATGCATTTTATACGTTTATGCTTGTATAAAGTGAGAGAGGCGAGGGAGAGACTAGCAGCGAGAAATGGAAAGTGGTGAGCGAGAAATTCAGGGAGAGGCAAATGACAATTGTTTGCCACGGGTTACAATTAAAGCAAACTGTAGCTATATCATTTAATTTGAATTAATAATTTGTTATTTTATACGATTTTTCTTTTTATAAATGTATGAGCATATTATCTTATACATAAGCATGTGTATGTTATGGTTTAGGATAGAGTAACTTTCGAGAACCAACTGAAATTAACCTCGTATTGTAAAGTTCTATAAAATTTCAAACAAATATTCAGATTTCAAGGTTTGCCTTGATGCTAAAACGTATTATACATGCCTATATTTATGTTAATTCTTATTTGATTATTAATGAAATGTAGGACTTGTTTTCTGCTGGAACAGAAACTTCAACAACAACAACAATATGGGCCATGACAGAAATGATAAGAAACCCAAGTGTATTAGCAAAAGCACAAACTGAGGTAAGAGAAGCATTCAAAGGGAAAGAAACTTCCAATGAAGATGTTATTGAGAGGTTGAAATACCTAAAACAAGTTGTTAAAGAAACCTTCAGACTTCATCCTCCGCTCCCTCTCTTAATCCCTAGAGAATGTAGAGAAGAAACAAACATCAATGGTTACACTATCCCTTTAAAAACAAGAGTCGTTGTTAACGTTTATTCGATGGGGAGAGACCCAAAGTACTGGGAAGATGCAGAAAGCTTTATACCTGAGAGATTTGAGGGGAGCTCAGTGGATTTTATGGGGAATAACTTTGAGTA